ATCGTCACTCTACAATCTGACATTCACCCACGCGGAGCGGTTGTCGTTATTCGGAAACACGGAAATATCTCCGCATTACATAACAAAGCTAATCTTCCCATGTTCAATCTGTTGTGCTGTCGCCGCGCCACGTCACGTGACTGATCGTAGCGAAGGAGACATGTGTTCTTATGACGTCATAGAGAAAGTGCAGCGGCGTGTGCCGAAAAAATCACTCTTCGCTTTATGTGTCGGTGAATATCATTGTTCGGATTTAGATTTGTATGGTAAACTGTTGAACATTGTCATGAATGTGCAGACCACACTTTTGTTTCTGTGGCTGCCACTGCCACAACTACAGCTGCTGCTACCAATACAACAGTTTATAATAATAATAGAATTGCTGCTACTACCACTACTACAGTTTATAATAATAATAGTATTGCTGCTACTACCACTACTACAGTTTATAATAATAATAGTATTGCTGCTACCAATACTACAGTTTATAATAATAATAATATTGCTGCTACCAATACTACAGTTTATAATAATAATAATATTGCTGCTACTACCACTACTACAGTTTATAATAATAATAGTATTGCTGCTACCAATACTACAGTTTATAATAATAATAGTATTACTGCTACTACCACTACTACAGTTTATAATAATAATAGTATGGCTGCTACCAATACTACAGTTTATAATAATAATAGTATTACTGCTGCTACCACTACTACAGTTTATAATAATAATAGTATGGCTGCTACCAATACTACAGTTTATAATAATAATAGTATTACTGCTACTACCACTACTACAGTTTATAATAATAATAGTATTGCTGCTACCAATACTACAGTTTATAATAATAATAGTATTACTGCTACTACCACTACTACAGTTTATAATAATAATAGTATTGCTGCTACCAATACTACAGTTTATAATAATAATAGTATTGCTGCTACCAATACTACAGTTTATAATAATAATAGTATTGCTGCTACCAATACTACAGTTTATAATAATAATAGTATTAATGCTTCTACAACTACAACAGTTTATAATAATAATAGTATTGCTGCTGCTACCACTACTACAGTTTATAATAATAATAGTATTGCTGCTACCAATACTACAGTTTATAATAATAATAGTATTAATGCTACTACCACTACTACAGTTTATAATAATAATAGTATTGCTGCTACCAATACTACAGTTTATAATAATAAAAGTATTACTGCTGCTGCTACCACTACTACAGTTTATAATGATAATAAAAGTATTGCTGCTACTACCACAACTACAGTTTATAATAATAATAGTATTGCTGCTACTACCACTACTACAGTTAATAATAATAATAGTATTGCTGCTACCAATACTACAGTTTATAATAATAATAGTATTGCTGCTACTACCACTACTACAGTTTATAATAATAATAGTATTGCTGCTACCAATACTACAGTTTATAATAATAATAATAGTATTACTGCTGCTACCAATACTACAGCTTATAAGAACAAAAATGTTACTACTGCTACTACAACTACAGCTTATAATAATAATATTAGTAGTATTGCTACCACCAGCTATCGGACATAAGAACTACCTTTATAACGACCATGTCAATACACCGTGTCACAAACGCCCAGCTATCGGACGTAAGAACTACTTTTCGTCCTTCTTACCCCATGTCAAAACACTGTGTCACAAACACCCAACTATTGGACGTAAGAACTACTTTTCGTCCCACTAACCCCTATTTAAGTACACGGAAGCACAAACACCTAACTTTCGGACATAAGAACTATTTTTTGTCCTATTAACCTTATATCAGAACAGTGTCCCAAACACCCAACTATCGGACATTGGAACTACTTTTCGTCCTACTAACCTCCAAACGTCCTACGAAGCACCACTTCACAGCTACCAGTGTGCACGAGCGACCAAAGACACGTGACCGTCCATCCTTACATGACTTTCCTCAATAACCTTTCTTCATCGGTTTTAAAAGATTAAAGAGCTCGTGACCGAACAAAATCAATCGTGGTACCTACAAATATTTGATTTGTCGTGATCTTAATGTTTTCTACGAGATTAAGTTCCTGTAATCGGGACGCTTGTCATGATGTACTGGCCCTGCTTGGCGGTGAACTCCAACAATTAAAACTGTATTTGACATGACAAGATGCACCGTGATTTAAACCCATAGGCCATGTCGATTAGTTCAACGGGCAGATGAACTACCGTTCCTATCTTCACGTACGAGATCATATTGCATTCTTTAGTTCTTATCTACACAATATTAATCACAATATTAAAGTGAAAAAACAGAGGGAGGGAAGAAACGAGATATAATATAATAATGCAAAATTTGGAAAAACACATAGATACTGTCTCTTTCCTGTCTGGTATTTTCAGCCCCCGACTTCGTTTTGTCTATAATAAAGCTTATCCGAATTATATGCTCAGTCAATGAATTGTCTGTTGTCCTCCGTTGTCTGATTTGCCACAATGATACTTTGTTGTATCCTGGTTAGCCTTTGCATGGAGGGGGAGGGGGATGTGGTAGGGGAGGGGATGTGGGACGGGGAGGAGGGAAGGCCCCTTGATAACGACCAACGGACAGACTCGCAATTTCCGACAGTTTGTGAAGATAATGATTGTTCAAGAGACAAGATTATATATATTCTCTTTCATCCGCATGCCAATGTCAGACTGACATAGTTCGAACTATCATGAGAATGCGGAGTTTAGGTTTTATTGAAGAGTTGTAGGACGTATTGCGTGGATAAAACAGCAGTATTGGATAAGATATGCAAGATACCAGTTTAATGGCTTAACTGCAATTGTATGGAAATTCAGCGGTTGCTATTTACTTTACGTGCGCGTTTTGTTTTCATTTAAGCGCTTCCAGAATGGATTTATAACACTAAGCAGATAAGATATTCTATTAATCAGTTGGAACAGCCTGGGTTCTCAACCAGACCGACAAATAAAAACATTTACGAGAAGGACAGATGAGGAGAATGGTTAATTGTACACACGAAAGCAAATTCCTGTCCATGGGCTTCCTGTGCGGTTCACCATACAGACATCACAGTTTGAAACACATCATAGGAGGATCCAGAGGCGGATCTAGAGGGGGGTCCAGGGAGGTCGGGCCCCCTTTTGAAAACCAATTGTAGCATGTTGTAGGCAGTAAAATTAGATGAGAGAGGATTTTGATATTTTGGACCCTCCCTTTTCAAAATGCTGGATCCGCCATTGCACATTATGTGATCCGTATGACATACAATGTACCTCCTTAAACTGGAAACTCGTTAATACGGACTGTTTCTTAGAAAACAGAACATTCTTCATCAAAGTGATTTTTCAGCCGACGGGAGTGGCTGAGTACCCTGTTTGTGTTGCTACCCACCGTGGGCACAATGCGTGAAGCCCGTTCTTGGTGGCCTCGCACTTATATGGCTAGACCCGTGAAGATTCCGGGGTAGAATAGGTCTTCAGCAACCCATGCTTGCCGTAAAAGGTGACTATGCTTGTCGTAAAAGGCGACTAACGGGATCGGGTGGTCAGGCTCGCTGACTTGGTTGATACATGTCATCGATCCCAATTGCGTGGATCGATGCTCATGATAGCAATCACTGGATTGTCTGGTCCAGACTCGATTATTTACAGACCGCCGTCATATAGCTGGAATATTGCTGAGTGCGGCGTTAAAACAACAAACCAACCAACCAACCAACTTATATGGCTGAATACTCGTAAACGTGGCGCGTACCGCTTTAACTAAATCCAGCATCAATGCCAGGCCATCAGGCAACGAACCATCGTCGGCTATCAAGGATAAACTCCATTCTCTCACTGACATTAGGTAATCGAGAATATCCGTGGTCTCAATGGACAAAGAGATCATGACATTCCGTTTGACCGGAACCCGTTAGTCCTTAAAGGAGGAGGCAAATAACGGCTCTTTTTTGCTCACTGGAAAGGTCAAATAAAGTTGCAAAAAACTATTGGTATGAAAAATATCCTGTTCATGACTGACAACTGGCCTTTGTTCTTTCTTACACGGGGCGGTCTGGTAGCCAATTTGTTAAAGCGTTCGCTCATCTCGCCGAAGACCCGGGTTCGATTCCCGACATGGGTACAATGTGTGAAGACCATTACTGGTGTCCCTCGCCGTGATATTGCTGGAATATTGCTAAAAGCGGCGTAAAATCAAACTCACTCACTCACACTTTCTTACACGTTCAAATGAGTAAAAATGAGCGATATACGTCTAAGTATGAACATAGTTCTAGTTCTCATTCATATGAACATATCTGATAACTTTCATAACAATGTCTAATAGTTTTGCTCAATTCTTAAATTATGCTTATTTTGTGTTTAAAATGGCCTTTATCCTACTTTGTTCTTTCGTCTCGAACGGGATTGTCACTGAAGTCATTTGAAATATTCATAGGAATAAGGAAATTAGTTTTTCTTTTAGCGTACATGGAGCATGGCTTAAGAAGCTTGGATATCTTCGATACATCATCGGCTTACACACTATGCGAACATGGTCAGAACACAAGGCGGGCCGCACGCATAGATATGTAGACTTTCACGACAGAAGTCCTGCCACACATACTGACTGTGAAACTGGTTGATGATATGCACGTGTTGCACATGCGTCACATGTATCACGTGTGCATAATGTTGAATGTGTAATGTTCATTGGGTGACGTGTTTGTCACCCGGATGTCCGATTTGGAAGGTGATGATATATGTAGCAGTTTTCCATTTTTTACAGAATTTAATGTTTTCTATACACAATGGTGTGTTTTGCATATTTTCGAAAAAGAAAGCTATTCCGGGAACAATTGAAGAATATGTTGTAATATTGCCCACATATATACGGAATGGGGTCAATATGTCAAGATTAGTTTCAAAATTAGAATCGTTTTTAGCGAGAGCTGTTGAGATGACGTAATGTATTGTATCATTTTTTGTTCCAGATCTGTTGGTCGAGTGCAGCAAGGGAAACGTGTCACGTGACCTGTTGTTACAAAAGATCAGCCTGCTTCTCGGCCTGCCCGAGGTCATTCACTGGGGCCCAGCGTGTAACAAGGCTGTGAGGGAGGTGTTTCAGAACAGTCTAGCCCAGAGAAAAGGCAAATATAAGAAATATCCTTTTTGCGGTATATCCATTCTATAAACAGTTATGAGTTACTTGGGCGCCAGAAACCGATGATTGTGGGTTCGATCCCGGTTCACCCCGAATATGTTTCTAGGTTCGTCAGCACCATACCATGTTCTTGGGTTTCACCAAAGTGGTTAACGTCTGAGACCTGCATCACTTCGGGGGTTTTTCCACATCAAGCTGACACACCATGATATAACTGTACTTTTGTTCAAAGCGGCATTAAATCCAACTCGTTAAGAACGGCATTGTTGTTAAGTGATCCGTGTTCCGCCAAAGTCGATTCCCAAAATGGGTACAATGTATGAAGCCCATTTCTGGGCCCCGCCGTGATATTACTGGAATATTGCTAAAAGCAACCAATGCTTGCAGTAAAAGGCGACTATATGCCGTCCCATACTTTAACACAGGTTTACGACAGTCATAGCACTAAGATCGCTTTGTGGAACAGGCCCCAGGTGTTCAGGCTCGCCGAGTTGGTTGATGCATGTCATCGTATCCCAATTGCGTGGTTCGATGCTCATGATGTCAATCTCTGGATTGTCTGGTCCAGATTCGATTATTTACAGACCGCCGTCATATAGCCGAAATACTGCTTAGTGCGGCGTTAAACAACAAACCAACAGGTCAGAATATTCCCCAGGTTCCACATGCCTGTCGTTAGATCCCACTAAACGTGATGGGGTTGTCAGACTTTTTGACTTGGCTGTTTACCTGACCGCGGAGTTAAACAATATTCACTCACTCGCTCACTCAAACACTCACCCATCCACTCATTTACCCCTTCACTCACTCACTCAAATGTGATATTGCCTCTATAGTACTGTAGACAACATACTCGACCCGAAAGCACCCATTCGCTTCAAGGTCGTTATTAGCTTTCTCAATTATGATGAACCATGTACTGAGCTTCTAGCGAGGATTAGAGGGATTTGTAAGATCAATCGGCAGTCCTCGCATGTTTGATTCAATTCATTAAACACTATCTTAGTCGATGTTGTGATCTTTATCAGTTAATGATAACCCTTATTACATAAACCAATGTCTCGGTTGGACACGTGGGACTAATTTCAGCGCCTAGACATGAATAGAAATTTGGCGTCAGACTGCGGAGCATTGTCTCTCCTAAGGCCACATTTTAACAAATAATTGGTTTTCAAAATTGAAACGTGAAAAAAGGAATAAGCAAAGTGTTGAAGAAACACTCATCTGCTGTCGCTTTCGATTTAAATAAATTATTAAAATACTATAATTAAAACCTCTTGAAAAATTGTCTTTAAACAATCAAAATACAACGAATTATGACACATCAACAGAGGAAACTGGATTTTATCTTTTAAACAATACCGTCCTGAATGTTTGGTCAAAAGTCCGTGAACAAAAACAAAGTGTAGCCTAAATACTACTATCTGACACGGGAACCAACCGCCGGCCTAAATTGTACTGTCTGAGACATAGGAACCCGAAGCACCTATTCTTCTGCAACCTGTGAAGATGCGGGTGAGAATTGGTCTTCAGCAACCCATGTCGTGAGAGGCGACTGACGGGTTCGGGTGGTCAGGCTCGCTGACTTGGTTGATGCATGTCATCCTTTTCCTATTGAGTGGATCGATGCTCATGATGTCAATCACGGAATTGTCTGGTCCAGGCTCATCTATTTACAGACCACCGTCATAGAGCTGGAATATTGGAAGTGCGGCGTTAAACAACAAACAAACCAAACCATTCTTCTTCACATGCCGAGCGTTGTCACAGGACATTATTATTTTAAACTATTTGGCTTAAGGATCCACCAACACTAAAAATCACATTTTTTCTCAGCCTGAATGAGTGAGTTGGGTTTAACGCCGCTTTTAACAATATTCCAGTTATATCGCGGCCTGTCAGCTTAATGTGGGAGGAAAGCCCGAAGTGATGCAGGTCTTAGACGTTTACCACTTCGGTGAAACCCACGAGCACGGGTATGGTGCTGACAAACCTAGAAACATAATCGGGGCGAACCGGGATTCGAACCCACAATCATAGGTTTCTGGCTTGCCCAAGAGACGCAACTCTGCAAAGCGAATCGCGGCGCCTTAGACGACTGGGCCACCCGTGCCCCCAGCCTGAATGAGACAAGGGATAATTCCGGGTTAGAATCGGCCCCCAGCAACCTATGCTTGTCGTGAGAGGCGATTTAGTGGTTCCGGTGGTGAGGCTCGGTGGCCTGGTTGGTTGTATGTCATTGCATCCTATTTCACCTACGACAGGCACGTCAGCCATAACGCTAAGGTCGCTTTATGAAATGGGCCCCCAGGGTCATATCTAAAACGATTGTTTATAGTCTGAAAGGGTGCTTCGTTCAGACATTCTCTTCTATATATGCTCGTGTGCAAACAGTAAATGTACATTTCACATTGTAGGGTGTCACGTGACGTCATGACATCACATTTCCTCCGGTCGTTGCGACAAGTCGCGTTGTAACCCTCTTGACAGTGGTCGCTCGAAAGCGATTGAAAATACAGATAGCTTACATGCACAGACGTTTCACGTGATCAATAATTATATATCTATTTATGTAAAGGTATATATTAGACCCATGCAAGGTTTGAAGAGTGTGTATGAATAATAAGTACCACAGCACTTATTTACCTGTTACCGTGAAGAGCTTGGTAGATGCATGTCATCGTGTCTCAATCGCTTAGATCGATGCTCATGATGTCAATCACTGGATGGTCTGGTCCAGATTATTTACAGACCACCGTCATGTAGCTGGTATATTGCTGAGTGCGGCGTTAAAAAACAACAAACATAGTAAGTATTATGAGGACGGTGGGGTAGGCTAGTGGTTAAAGCGTCGGCTCGTCAGACAGAAGGCCCGGGTTCGATTCCCCACATGGGTACAATATGTGAAGCCATTTTTCCGATGTTCCCCGCCGAGATATTGCTGGAAGCGGCGTTAAACCATACTCACTCACTACTATTATGTATTAGGATGAATCTTGAGTGTAAAACCTCTATTGTGCCTTAACTCCATCACGACCTACTTCTTCGGCGTGGCCCTGATCGAGCAGCTTCAGGAACAGGAGGAGCTGAGTGACTCGGAGAATGTCACGTACCAACCACTGCGTGACATGTCCCAGGACCTGGAGCGGATACTCGAGCACCTGCCGGGTAGGTGGGTGTGCTGGGTAGATAGGGGCACTCATGTCGGGTAGGTGGTGTGTTGGGTAGATAGGGCCCTCATTCCGGGTAGGTGGTGCGTTGGGTAGATAGGGCCCTCATTCCGGGTAGGTAGTGTGTTGGGCAGATAGGGGCACTCATGTCGGGTAGGGTGTGTGCTGGGTAGATAGGGCACTCATTCCGGGTAGGTGGTGTGTTGGGTAGATAGGGCCCTCATTCCGGGTAGGTAGTGTGTTGGGCAGATAGGGGCACTCATGTCGGATAGGGTGTGTGCTGGGTAGATAGGGCACTCATTCCGGGTAGGTGGTGCGTTGGGTAGATAGGGGCACTCATGTCGGGTAGGGTGTGTGTTGGGTAGATAGGGCCCTCATTCCGGGTAGGTAGTGTGTTGGGCAGATAGGGGCACTCATTCCGGGTAGGGTGTGTGTTGGGTAGATAGGGCACTCATTCCGGGTAGGTGGTGTGTTGGGTAGATAGGGCCCTCATTCCGGGTAGGGTGTGTGTTTGGCAGATAGGGCACTCATTCCGGGTAGGGTGTGTGCTGGGTAGATAGGGGCACTCATGTCGGGTAGGTGGTGTGTTGGGTAGATAGGGCCCTCATTCCGGGTAGGTGGTGTGTTGGGCAGATGGGGCACTCATTCCGGGTAGGTGGTGTGTTGGGTAGATAGGGGCACTCATTCCGGGTAGGTGGTGTGTTGGGTAGATAGGGCACTCATTCCGGGTAGGTGGTATGTTGGGTAGATAGGGGAACACATTCTGGGTAGGGTGTGTGTTGGGCAGATAGGACACTCATTCCGGGTAGGTGGTGTGTTGGGCAGATATGGCACTCATTCCGGGTAGGGTGTGTGTTGGGTAGATAGGGCACTCATTCCGGATAGGGTGTGTGTTGGGTAGACAGGGCACTTATTCCGGGTAGGTGGTGTGTTGGGCAGATAGGGCGCTCATTCCGGATAGGGTGTGTGTTGGGTAGACAGGGCACTCATTCCGGGTAGGTGGTGTGTTGGGTAGATAGGGGCACTTATTCCGGGTAGGTGGTGTGTTGGGCAGATGGGGCACTCATTCCGGGTAGGTGGTGTGTTGGGTAAGTCGGGTTCTTATTCCGGGTAGGTGGTGTGTTGGGCAGATAGGGCACTCATTCCGGATAGGGTGTGTGTTGGGTAGACAGGGCACTCATTCCGGGTAGGTGGTGTATTGGGTAGATAGGGGCACTCATTCCGGGTAGATGATGGGTTGGGCAGATAGGGCACTCATTCCGGGTAGGTGGTGTGTTGGGCAGATAGGGCACTCATTCCGGGTAGGTGGTGTGTTGGGTAAGTCGGGTACATATTCCGGGTAGGTGGTGTGTTGGGTAGATAGGGCACTCAATCCGGGTAGGTAGTGTGTTGGGTAAGTCGGGTACTTATTCCGGGTAGGGTGTGTGTTGGGTAGATAGGGCACTCATTCCGGGTAGGTAGTGTGTTGTGACATGGGGTTTATCTGTGTTACAGACCTGGTATACTGGACGGGGGAGTGTGACACGGGGGTGTCTCGGGACGAGCTGCTGGAACTGCTGGCCGAGAAGATCGAGGAAAAGGATGTCCAGCACTGGGGGGTCCAATGTAACAGAGCGATGAGGATGTTGTTTCCGGAAGTACAGATGAAGCGGAAGGGAAAATACAAAACATATCCTTTGCCAAATTTAGAACACATCCTTCAGGCTGAGAATCTGACGGGTCAGTCCCACGTCAGTAAACACCCTTACAAGTATCACCGACAAGTAAGATCATGACGTCATAACGTTTGACGTGACGTCTCTTGTTAGTCACGTCACAATTGACCCTGTTACCATTCTGACAATCCAATGACGGCCACGCATGATTGTCACACACTAATACTGCACCGAAAAAGTCTTTGTAACATGTCACTAAAAATGCATACATTACATGTGTCAGTAACTAGAATACTAAAAGACCTTGACACAAATATATCCAATACAGACCTTTCAAGTCTATAATAGTTAGCAAGTCTAGATTACTGCAGTTTCTGAAAATGAAGAGAGTCTCTGGGCTCCCTTCTTCTCTTTTTTTAATGAAGTTATTTTAACTGTTAAGCGACTAGATGTTAGTACACCTCGCTACCGACATATGCAAGGCACTATCTCGCCCCTGGTCAGCTATGACAGGGAGGCTTGACCAGTTTATACCGACCGTAAAGGAAGAACTGTGAGAAGTAATTTGGACGACCTGTTGCCTGTCTAGACTAGTTACTTATATACCTCCGAGTGTGAATGTGGCGACTTTGTGTTATTAATAAGGCCGTGCGGCTATTTTTGTACTCAAACTAAAATAGAAAAATTTCGTTGACTAGAACAATATTATGTGAGTAAACTGCCCGACTAAAGAAAGTATATACCTATGTTTCATGGTGGCCAAAAATGAAACAAACAAGAAATGGTTATTATATTGATGACACATCTGATACGGGTATCATGGTGGTGTTTTGGCCTTAAGTTTGCCTGTGACTGTTTTCAGCGTAGTAATGTTTTGATAACGTTTGTAATGAATTGGTCAAGCCCCAATTTTCAAGTGTATGCAGTTTTTTAACGGCAATAATGCAGTATAAACTGTTTGTCACTTCAAGTATGTTGTTGTCAGTATAGCAACTATATGTGTTTGTATCGTCATTTATTCTTGACCATGAATGAACTTGCGTCCCTTAGGCATCCCAGGATCCGATGACCGTGAGTTGGAATCCAATATGATTTTGATCATTGATGTGTCTGCACTATTCGTTGCTTGTGGGTTTAACCAAAAAACAAAATTACCTGCAACACTTCGGGCTTTCCCCCAACATTAATCTGATGTATAATGCTACATATATAAAGCAGTACTTGTATGGAACTAGTCTTCCTTAATTCTCACACTACAGTATTCTTTGGTGTTGATTACTCCAAGAATCTTCAGAAACAGGTAAGAATTCCAGATCTTTTAGTTATCAAATTTTATTATTTTCAAAAACAGTGCTTGTGTGAACACTTACCAAGCCCACGTTCAATGCTTGGTGTATTAAAGTTTCTGGAATGTTGTTAAAATCATATTCACTAATAAAGTGCGCGAAACCCACCACAATGTCAACAAATTATCCTTTTCAACTTCTGTAATTGGTTGGTTCATTTCCCATCTTCCAATTTGTAAATTTGTCCTTACAGTGTTGTCACTACCCCTAGTGTACAGTACATACACCCTGTGCACTCAAAGACCCTACCCATCCGACGGTAGATGGCTACATGGTGGAAACCCGAATACGTACATACACCCGAAACACAAATTGTCAAAACATGTGGTGTCACCCAGGACAAGTGACTTACTTCAAACGTGCCTCTGTTCACCCAGTGGGGAATGGGTACCCGATATGTGAGGTGGATGTAAAAACGTTCTAGCGCCCCTGTGAAGGTTAGGTTGTATACTCCCCAGGGAGTTGAGAATGATAGCTGGAATGCAAACGGATCCACTGGTCGGGGATCAAATAAAACCGCATTTGAGCAGATACTAGTACCTGGATACGTACGGTTTAAAAATGTATAGTTTTTAAAAAAACAACGCTTGTGTTGACAAGTACCTCCAATGGCGCTCGAATCCATTTTGAAATCTCAAACATATATTTCCATCCTTATTTTCCTTCCAGAGTTTCATCCCCACCAAGCGAGGTCGGCCCCGGAAGCTGAACGACGACGAGGACGACCAACCCTACTCCGCCGTCTCCAACTCCCCCTTCGACAAGAGTATGTTGGCCTGGAGAGCGCAGGTACCCATTTCCGACCCCCGTCAGATTCCCGGTCAGAATAGAGAGATTTTGACCGCCTCCGTGGTCTAGTGGTAGAGCGTCGGCCCGGAGAGCGGAAGGTCCAGGGTTCGATCCCCGGCCGCGTCATACCAAAAAGACGTTAAAAGATGGTACTTGTTGTTACCCTGTCTGGCGCTCGGCATTAAGGGACTAAAACGAGGACTGGCCGGCTTGGAGTCAGTATACTGTGTCTGAGTGGGGTATTCATGTTAAACTGCGGCATGGTATCTCAGTGAGCTAGCACTATAAATCGGCATCAGTCCGGACTAGTACAAGCAGCCACACAAATACACACACGTACATGCATGTCGCTATATAAGTGCAATAATCTTAGACGCGATGTTAAACCCAATTTAACTCAAATCTTTCTTGATTTCCACTTAAACTCACTGAGAAGATGAGTGAAATCGACTTTGGATCCATTCCGCTGTTGCTGTATGGCTGTTTAAAGAGAGTGTAGACGACACAGTCTGGTGCACGTTTTCTGATTAGATCTAGACGCTTTAATTAATGCCCTGCGTGAAACCGAGACATCGTCCCTATATAATTAGGGCTATCGGTGAATGCTAATTGAACTAAGTCATAAAACTTGAGATTGTAGCCAAGTACAGTGTTTAAGGGGGCATTCGTTGAACATAATATCAAACTAATAGCAGTTTTCAGTCATTGTAACCTGCAGAGGGGTAAGATTTGGTTGTTTGTTTGTTGTTTAACGCCGCACTCAGCAATATTCCAGCTATATAACGGCGGTCTGTAAAATAATCGAGTCTGGACCAGACAATCCAGTGATTGACATCATGAGCATCGACCCACGCAATTGGGATCGACGACATGCATCAACCAAGTCAGCGAGCCTGACCACCCGATCCCGTTAGTCGCCTCTTACGTAGAAACGAAACCGGACTTGTGTGGGGGACCGAAACTTGTGTCCGGTTTATACAGAGATCCGGATTAGTGAGATAACTGCAATGATTTGCTGATACACTAATAACACGCAAGAACGAGAGTGTTTGGTTTAACGCCGCTATGAACAGTATTTCAGTTATAACATGTGTCGTGTCAAAACAGCCCGAGTTAGACATTTAGCTTTGGAGAAACCCACAGGACGGTTTTGGTGCTGTCATACCTGGAGACATTGTCCGGGATTCGAACCCAAGATAAAAGGTTCGGTCATGCACAGCGGCACCTTTCGCCACTGGGCCATCGTGACCAGCGAAATCAATGAGTCGTCATGGACATGGGCACTAAACACTAATTACACCACCGCATCCTCCTGCCGTTATACAGGCCGTGTGAGAAGAGGCTTATTTCATGGAAAGGGGATTACCCTCCTCAGATATACTTTTTTTTCTATTTTGTGTATGCCCCTTCTAAAGTCGCTAAATTGCCTAAGCGGGTTCTTATAAACAAGGCATCAATAATGTCAATATTAAGCAGTAAAGTTAGACGAGGCTTCGTGGTCTGGCGCCAGTTTTCTCGACCTAGATATGTGAATGACGCTTGGGTTGACTGAGACTTTGTATGTAGATTAGTAAGATTGAGATAATATGTTATAACGTGCCTTTCCCCTAAACTTGTAATATTTCCCTCTCTCTCTCTCTCTCTCTCTCTCTCTCTCTCTCTCTCTCTCTGCGACTGTCTCCCTCCCTCCTTTCCTTTCAATCTCTGCGACTGCTCTCTCCTCTCTCTCCCACTCCATTTCTCTCCCCTCTATCTCCGCGACTGTCCAACTCCACCCCACCCCACCCCTCCTCTCTCTCTCTCTCTCTCTCTCTGCGACTGTCTCCCTCCCTCCTTTCCTTTCAATCTCTGCGACTGCTCTCTCCTCTCTCTCCCACTCCATTTCTCTCCCCTCTATCTCCGCGACTGTCCAACTCCACCCCACCCCACCCCTCTCTCTCTCTCTCTCTCTCTCTCTCTCTCTCTCTGCGTCTGTGTCTGTTTCTCGTTTGTTCTCTCCTACTGAATAACAAACAAACCGTTTAATAACCCCGTCCATTTCAGATGCAGCACATGAAATACCTCTCCCAGCCTCGTTTCCAGCACCACTGGAAGGGAGAGGACGGCACCCCCCTCCTGCCCCAGCTACCCCCTAGGGAGGGTGCAACTGAGATATCTAAGGACTATAACTTCCTAGCAGCGGAACTGAGAGGTTCTTACACGAACTACCACCCGCCCACCTTCGGGTATAACCACGGGTACTCTGCCACTGTGCAGCACAAACCACCGGAAACAGAGGTTGAAACGGACGCCAGTGCACCCAGCATTATAGACGATACTGATCCACGAGGGGACAAGAATGAACGCGAATCTCCCAAAGAGGAGGAATGTGTTGGGAAGTAACCGTGCGTTCCACTAAGGGATATATATTCAACGTGTGTTCTCTGTGAAATCGATTCGGCCAAGGAGGTGGTGAAAACGTCAAGAATGATTGCGTTGGGTGGAGAGTGTGGCCTAATAACCGAGTTGGAGAAGATTTGCTGCAGGGTTTTGAACATCTTGATGGAAGTTTTCTGAGAGATATATATGAAGAGTTACGCGGGCACTGACAGCTGACGGGCATGTCGGTCAGGACATGCAGTAAGGATGTGTGTGATTGACGATGAGTCTTATACTGTCGCGCCACCACTGATCATCTGACTCCTGACGAACACAAGGAAAACTATATAGCCATGTTTCTTTCTGGTATCCATTCAGGAAGCAGATCATATACGATATGAAACGTGTACATCTGTGTAAAGCGGCACCTCGTTAATCCAGATTCTTCCGTTTCCGGAGAAATCGTCAGGACTGGTACATGGAGTGATCTCTCTTTATATATGACATACACCTATAGTCTGTAGATACCGTTCCTGATTGAGAAGGTCTGGAGAACGGGGTTTCCGGACTAAACAGGTTCTGTATAATGCACTCGTTACCAGTGCCAGAATATTGTCGTCATGGAGTCTTTAGAAGACTGGTAGTGTTGCCATGGTTACAGAAGCTGCTGATATTTGCAGCAAGAGCTCTTACCTATTCCCTGCAGGCATGTAACATGTATTTTACCATTTAAACACAGAACTAGTTTCGGGGGAATAGTATTCACGTGTTGTTCATTCATGTCAACTTTCAGCGTGGTATTACTTAGCGCAGCATACCCAGGGAACCAGTCTGGTCCAATCGTGTCATTCCGGGACAAGCCGAATGGCGAATTTACGGAAAGTGCCGAATGGTGAAGAATGTACACCTCGTCAACTTGAAATCTTGAGGACCATTGAAATAAGAGTTATCCGCTGTTCGAGACAAACGAATGCCATTATTGGATTATCACAGCGATAAGTATTCTACCTGGACCATAAGTATCGCCTTAAACGATGTATCATGTTACTGGATATCGCGTTAACTAAGGTTTACTGTAATTCAATATCACACGAGACAGCTTATTATTTATTGACCGTTTATCTAATGAATGAGAAATGTATTGTTTTACATTGTTTTCCGAAATTCTGGTTAATATTTTAGCCTTCATTTGCATTTTATCAATTTCTTTGTTAGAACTGCAATACTCATCAATCAAGTTATTTTAAATGTTCTCAGCTCTTTATGAAGAATTTGTGGGCAATATTTATGTTTATGTTGTGTTGGGGATATTACAATACTGGACCAACGTTTCATATTCGTCAGGGCGGTCGGGTAGCCTAGTGGTTAAAGCGTTCGCTTGTCACGCCAAAGACCCGGGTTCGATTCCCGACATCGGTACAATGTGTGAAGCCCATTTCTGGTGTCCCCCGCCGTGATATTGCTGGAATATTGCTAAAAGCGGCGTAAAACCATACTCACTCACTCACTCATATTTGTCAAACACCAGTGGTGCTTACTGCAATAGCGTAATGACGTGCAATGCAACTTTCCTCCTGATCCTCGTGGTACTGTGGCGAGTGTGGTCTAAGGGAGACAATTCATAGTGCAAAATGGACGTCTCTATAACACCCCTACTACCACCACTACTACCAGCATTTTGTATTTTGCCCAAGATTGTTATTTAATTCTGGAAAACCATTTGGCCAGTCTCAGTCAAGTGTATTCACAAAAATGGTTTTCAGGGGTATATTCTAAGAAAGGAAAAACAATAATTTTAATCCATGTTGCCCTTGGCCCAGCAAATTCTCCTTTGCTCCAAACTTATATTTTTTTGCATTTTTAAAACACAAAGTTATATGCAGAAGTATCATGACACATCATTAAACGAAGTTGTAACATAATATACCCACATCTGGCCAATGGGCCACCAAAGTTTCTTTTGCTCAAAACTCATTATTTTTAGTTCAGCAAAATCACAAATTTGTTACAAGTATTATCGTATTAACTAATTTATAACATAATTGTCTAAACCAATGCTTAGCCTTATTGAAACATTTGGCCCATTAGAGAAAACGTTTATATTAGTTTTAATTATAGGTCGAATCTGCGGCTCCAGATCAAAACACGCAATGAAATCAACCCAAGCATGAAATATGGGTTGCACGTGCAATATCTTCCGGGTCAACGCATTGTGACGAACAAGAGTGTTAAACGAAAAAGGCATATGATCTGAATGCTTGTATCAATTTTGTGCAATATTTGTGATATAGGCTTTCCTCCTATTGCGGTAAAAATAGTTCTTTTCAACTATTGAGCGTTAACTTTGTTACGCGTGACAAGTCTGCTCAAACAGCTCTTTAGTATATTGACGTTTACTGGAGGTGGAGGCGATATCTTTTGAAGCGTCAGTACAATCCTGAACTTGTCACAGTTCGGTGGTTGTATGTATCTTACAATAATTACCCTAGTTTTTAAAAAAAAAAGGATTATTCAAGACTATACATTGAGAATTCAAGGGCTTAGATATTTTGGTCCTTATACGAAAATAAGGTCTTGAAAATGGAGGCTTTGATTGCGACGAACACGATCAGTTTATTTTGGCCTCATGATTCCGTTCTGGCATAGTTCAAACAAAATAGCCTTAAGCGAACCACTTTATCTTAGAAATATACTTGTTTTCAATTTATTTTCCTCTGGTCACAGACAGCACACACCGTACGTTGGTGTATTCGTGACCACATGGCTGTGGACAGGCATTCGGAAATGCTCGATCTGTTCCGGTATAAAAGGCGAACATTCGTCACCACTCGCCCCTTTCCGTTACCTGCAAGAAGACTCGTCCCCGTATCGATGAATTTTATGTGCGAAAATACGACAAACCAATCAGAATGCGCGTATGATTTCAAGTTCTTCGTCAAAGAATCCCTCAGAAATATAGCCAAGACACAGTTAAATGTGTTCAATCATACTGTATAATTCCGCATGTCACGAGGTGCTTTAAATTGCATCTGAAATATGGGAAAATACATGTGAACCATTACGCAACGAGTTGACAATTGTTTTAGGTATGCCCGTTTGCGCTAAGACGGAACCCGGTCGCAATAATGGCCATGAGAGGGGCACGAGTCGCTATTCGGCTTGTCCCGGAATAACACGAGTTGGTCACGAACGAAAGGCGAAGTGCCGATAACGGAAATAGTCGAGTGGTTGCGAATCAGGGCGAGATATGATATAACAGAAGACACATTTTGTAACGGTGAAATGACAACCATTATTGTGCGATTGTTTCAATGGTTGTAAATATATTATTATATATTGTTTTTGTGCAATACTGATCTCACGTGTCTTGGACACATTGCATAATGTATTTATTTACAGTTTATATATGTGCGGTATATCACAAAGTTCTTGTTATATACATTTAACTGACCGCGGAGCAAGGTATGTTATGCTTATACCATTTATATCATCATTGCAGGATATAAACACAAATTGCAAGATTTTACGAATCCATGATTTGAAAAGAAAGTTGAAGACACTTTTAATTGACATATGGCAACTAAAAGGCAATTTTTTTCTTTTTCATTTTTTTGTGCTGAAATATTAATTGAAGCATTTTTACCATAACAAATACGTGTATGGCCTGCTTTTGTAGAAAAAAGAGTTTCTACGTACGAATATTTAAGATGGGACAATATCATTTTGGCGCATGACATATTAATATTAGATTTTTCAACTGGCAATTTTCTCTTTTTCCACGATAACCGTGAACCGAAAATGGCAGTTGTTTCCCTGAAATAATTAAAACACAAACCGAAAAAATGTGTTCGGTCTTTACAGGTGTGAAATAAGGGAATTTAATATATATGTTACATGGTTTATTATTGAAGTAACGTATCGGATATAGACTGTATTGTTCTCATGTGTTATACATATTGTTCTCGAGTTGAATATGACGCTTTATCAGGTTGCATTTCTGTGATTTTGACGATTCGATATAAACTTGGGAGAAATGAATTAAAAGTGATTCTTTGAACTACACATCTCATTGTTTTTTGCCTTCTCGCCATCTCGCTTGGTCTGTTCCTGGCAAAGTTGCGTCCCTTTGTTGTGCCAGGATCTGAGGCAAACGTTTTGGCTCTACGACATTTAGCGTCCCATAAAACAGCTACGAGGCAGCAACATATTCGACAGACAATAAACTGCTTAATATAAAGGGAAGGGGAGACCCCTATATTTATGTTTTTGTTTTCAGTCACTCCATCAAGTCATTGAAATATATCCCCTGAAAAAAAAGATCGAAAGAATTATTTGCTTTATCTATGTTCATTAATTTCTGGAACAAAGAAAGTGCCATTTGATTAGTGGCAGAATGACGGGTTTTTCAGGTGAATGCATTTATGCAAATACAAATGTATTGTGGTCGAAGTGCCTGACGTTTGCATGCGGCGCTTATGAAATGAAGCGTACGTAAAATCAATTCATCCCTTCCTACAGGTTACACACAACCAAATGTTTTCCCATAGACTTCTATAGTAACGTTATATATTTTTTTTAAAATAACTAAGCATTCAACAGCTATTACCTGTACGTGTGTGCACAGTTTGGCCTTAGAGCAGCAATAAAAAAATAAAAAATGACTAGCTTAGCCAGCTCCTTTTCCGAGTACAGGAAGCTAAACACACCACCCCCAGTTTCGCACCTAATGTCACCTACTTGAAAATAGCTGTGGTCACATTCAGCATAAGTCATCATGTTGAAAAAGAAAAAATATAGAAAAACATGGTCAGTTTTAATAACTGGATGGATGTACATTTGAAAGACATAAAAATCTTACAGAATATATCCTCCAATCACTGCCTGCGGATATCTCTCGATCTGCACTGAAGGCTGTGAAGCGAAAACCGCACTGTCCAAACTGGTTCTGATTTTGTGTAGTAGAACCTCCAAGGCTGACATAAACCAACATATCATCACTTGTGACCGTCAGCGTGCATAACGAGCATCAGTCAAACAATGATACCCAGTTAAATCCGAACCCCGGAAGACCAGAAACTCCATACCGATAATGCACATGATAAAGTACGCATGATCCATTAATCTGGGGCCCTGAAGATCTGGGTTAGAATAGGTCTTGAGCAAACCATGCTTGTCGTTAGAGGCGACAAATGGGATCGGGTGGTCAGGCTCGCTTACTTGGTTGATGCATGTCATCCTATCCCTATTGCGTGGATCGATGCTCATGATGTCAATCACTGGATTGTCTGGTCCAGACTCGATTATTTACAGACCGCCGTCAAATATCTGGAATATTGCTGAGTGCGGCGTTAAACAACAAACATTAATCTGGACACATGATAATCCGGATAGTGTACAGATACACACATCTTAAAGTCATAGCCTCGTGATGAAAGCGTTCGCTCACCAAGCATCAAGATCTAGGTTAGGGTACACGGGGTAGGATTGGTCTTCAGCAACCCATGCTTGCCGTAAAAGGCGACTATGCTTGTCGTAAGAGGCGACTAACGTGATCGGGTGGTCAGGCTCGCTGACTTGATTGAAACATGTGATCGATCCCAATTGCGTGGACCGATGCTCATGATATCAATCACTGGATTGTCTGGCCCACACTCGATTATTTACAAACCGCCGTCATATAGCTGGAATACTGCTGAGTGCGGCGTAAAACAACAAACCAACCAACCCTAAGGGTACAATGTGTGAAGACTTTTCTTTGCGCTCTGATCGTGTTACTGGGTTATTGATAACCTCGGCGTAGATTTCATGAAAACATGAAATCTATTTCTAAATTTACGTATACCAGGATACACAAGAGTGGATACATATTTTTGGAAAAGGGTGGTGCGTTTTACGATTTTACAATTCTTGTTGAGTTAACGTGTAATTTTATGGACAATCAATCTGTTTAATGTTTACGTTTAGTTTACCTGATAATATTTTCGAATGTGTACATGTTAAAGTACTCCACACTCACGCACGCACACGCACACACACGCGCGCACACACGAACGCACACCCACACTCACTACACACCACCCATCTGGAGTGAGTGAGTATGGTATTACGCCGCTTTTAGCAATATTCCAGCAATATCACGAAATGGTTTTCACACATTGCACCCATGTCGGGATTCGAACCCGGGTATTCCGCGTGACGAGCGAACGCTTTAACCACTAGGCTACCCGACCGCCCCCATCCCATGTGTATGCGCGTATTGTAAAGTTTGAATTGTTCCGACACTTTCCACTATTCTGCAATTATCGAAATATATCAAAGTAGAAAAACAAACACATTTTCCTTAATATGAAAAATACAATCAAGGAGCAGTAGTAATGCCGGTAGGCTGGTTCCGTTATGCGCCCTCCACACCCATTCAGACGCTACCGTTTCTGTGTTGAAGTATTCAAGTGATTCAAATTAACTCCCTTTTTTCATTTTGACTTAAACCTAATCTGATTATGTAAATCACAGCGCTACTGCCAACTAAAGCCGTAGTGATTGATGTATACACGAAACATAGACACCATTCGTATATGTTTGGGCTAAATCCGGATTATCAACAAACCGGCGGATTAATTACCTCATTAGCGTTAATCCCTTATCCCTGGCAACCGTGACGACATACAGCACTGTGGACACAGCGTATGGTCAGTCAGTTCTGTCCATCGCTTCACACTGGTCAGCACCTTCTGGACAGGTAGGTCATTGCGGTTTCGCGTGGATATTTCACATTTCGATTCGTCCTGATTATCAAGTCTTTGAAAGGCATTTAGAATTGATATACACATGAGGAAGAGAATTTATGGATGTCAACTTCTTTATTATGAGGAACACAACGTTTCGGAGTATATGCTTACTCCTCCCTCAGGTGAATAAATGCAATGAGGCAGAGAACATATTCGTTGTTCTTACAGGCACATTTACATGTTCTCTGTCTTATAGCATTTATTCACCTGAGGGAGGGAGTAAGTAAATATTCTATTCTCTTCCTCGCCCTGATTATGTTTCTTGTTTCTAAGGCGCCGCGATTCGCTGTGCAGAGTTGCGTCCCTTAAGCACGCCAGAAACCTGATTGTGGGTTCGAATCCCGGTTCGCCCCGATTATGTTTCTTGGTTTGTCAGCATCATACCCGTGCTCGAGGGTTTCACCAAAGTGGAAAACCTGCATCACTTCGCGCGTTCCCCCACATCAAGCTGGCATGCCGTTATATGAATGAAATAGTGTTCAAAGTTGAGTTAAAACCCGTATCACCTATTTTAATGGATGGTGTTTACAATATGACAATGGGAAACATTTGTAACCCAAGATCAATATTTTCCAATTAAAATTTGTACTTAATCACTGGCTGTATGTCTCTCATGATTAGCTAATAAACTTTAAAATATCTATGCCATGGAGGCATTACAGATGTAGGTTGTCGATAAGATGCAATGTTGCCTAGGGATTGCTCACTTGATCTTAAACCAGGTTGGGATTTATCGCCTTAGTGACCAAAGGGAGGTAACTCAATAACACTACGGAGATTAGCACATACAGTTCGCCCAATGCCACAACACACACCGAGCGATGGAGAGATGTTTGTGTTACAGCCAATGTCTGAAATTATTAATTTTTAATTATGCAATTTACAAAATGCCAAAATATTTCAGTCAATTTACAACAAAAAATCCATTTATAATATTATGATAAATTAAAATGAAATCTTATTCTTATTTCGTCACCGAGTTACTAAAAATGATAGGATTAAAAGAAAACGAAAGTCAATGTATATATTTATATTATTTGGGTTTCTAATCCAAGTATAATTAGTGTACTGTGATGTTTTTCAGCCCTTTTGAACTTCTTACTAACTTTAGTCAATATGAAGAAATAATAATTGTAAAATGATTGAATTGAAGCTGAGATAGAAACCCGGTCCTCGGCGGGACGAGCCAACGCTTAAACCTCTCGGCTACGTTGCTACTCCCTTTATTATTAGGAAAGCAACTTATAACATCCATGCCTTTAATAATATTACATAACGAAGCTGCAGGTGTAATATTTGTTTTAATCTTGTCTATTCTTTAAACAAACGAAGTATGACCTATTTGAAGTCGGTCAAATAAAATGGAGCTAATTTCGTGCCGTTATGGCCACTAGATAAAAGTATTACAGTTATATCGCGGCGTGTCAGCTTAATATGGGAGGAAAGCCCGAAGTGATGCAGGTCTCAGACGTTTACCACTTCGGTGAAACCCACGAGCACGGGTATGGTGCTGACAAATCTAGAAACATAATCGGGGCGAACCGGGATTCGAACCCACAATCATAGGTCTCGGCGTGCTCAAGGGACGCAACTCTGCACAGCGAATCGCGGCGCCTTAGACGACTGGGCCACCCGTGCCCCCGGCCAGTAGATAAGGCGTGATGTGATGGCATGAGGCTTTCTGAATATATCGCTGAACCATAGGTCCCCTCAGTTGTACTTCACTCTGTCTGGGGTTCCGGACAAGGATCCCACGTAACAACACAATGCTTGGTACCCGTGAAGATCCGGTTTCGAACAGGTCTTCAGCAACCCATGCTTGATGTGAAAGGCGACTATGGTTGTCGTAAGAGACGACTAACGGGATCGGGTGGTCAGGCTCGCTGACTTGGTTGATGCATGTCATCGATCCCAATTGCGTGGATCGATGCTCATGATGTCAATCACTGGATTGTCTGGACCACACTCGATTATTTACAGACCGCCGTCATATAGCTTTATTTTCCAGAGCACGAACTTCAAATTAGCTTTGATTATAATCATTGATTTGTCAACGCAAAACACGTGTTCCTGGGTTTAAAAGGGTAAATGCCCACTGTAAATGACACTACTACAACTGGTAAAAGACACTATAGCTGATAAATGATAATACAGTTGCAAATGATACGACTGCAGCTGGTGAATCACACACACACTCGTACACACACACACACACACTCGTACACACACACACACACACACACACACACACACACACACACACACACACACACACACACACACACACACACACACACACACGCACACACACACATGCACACACACACAAACATATCTAGTGTCCGTTAAGACTAACGAGTGTGTTCCTCTGTTGCAGTTATCTAGTGGCATAGCGTGTCCTCTTTGCTACACAATGGACGGGGGCTGGCATCAGAAGTACCTGGAGACCCTGTCGGAAGGAATCAAGTACCTATGGACAAGCGGTCACTTCAGCGACGCCAGTATTGTGGTGCAGAACAAACGCTTCCGATGTCACCGAGCGGTCCTGTCCGCCATGTCACCTCATTTCGACGCAACCTTCTCATCGGGCATGCGCGATAACCCCGACGGAACCTTGACCTTGCTGAACATCGACGTCACGACCTTCGACAGCGTCTTGATCTTCATGTACACCGGTCGTGATGTGGTATGCCAGGAAAATGCCGAGAGTTTGCTTCGTGCTGCGACGACGCTCCAAGTCAAAGGTTTGATTGACAGGTGCGAGGAGTTCCTGTGTGAGAACCTCACCAAGGAGAACTCCATACGCATGTGGCGGTTAGGTCGCACCCATAATTGCCAGGACCTGGAGGAAACAGCATGGCCACTGATTCTGGACAATTTCCTAGACTTGACAAAGACGGAAGACTTCAACGATCTATCGGTCGACGAACTGGCAGCAATAATCAAAGATGACGACTTGGTTGTCTCAAATGAGGAAATGGTATGCGAGGCTGTTTTCAAGTGGATCGCAGTGGACTCAGACAACCGGAATATGCATTTAGCTTCTATCATCGAACATCTCCGTCTTCCCCTGGTGAGTCCTGAGTATCTTCTCAACATCAGCACCTCCCAGGGCCTGCTTCGTGACGACATGGTGTGCCGTGTGATGCTGGAGGAGGCAAAGAGGTACCACATGCTGCCCGCACGTCGTCAGGAGTTTACGTCCAAGAGGGCTGTCTTCAGGAACAGCTTTGATCCGGAAGAGGTTCTAGTTGTTCTTACTGGAGGCTCCACACAGACAAAACCTACTGACGTCCTCTGCTACAGCTTCAAACAATTCAAGTGGTTCTTCCTTGCTCCACTACCGTACGACCCAGGTGTAGAATTTGCAGCATGCACTTACGCCAGTAATATTTACATTTCCGGAGGGAGCCGGAAATGGCCGAAGTTGTTCAAGTATAATAGCGAGAGTAACGACTGGCGGGAGTGTGAGCAGATGGCGCAAGGTCGGTCCCGACACGGGATGGTGGCAGTTCGGGACTGTCTGTATGTTATTGGTGGATACAATAGGAACCTCCCCGCCGGAAACAAGGTCATTTCTTCCATCGAGAAGTACAGCATTAACACAGGGAAATGGTCCAGTGCCGGCGAACTGCCTGTTCCGGTTGAGATGGTATCAGCTTCTGTGATTGGTGAAAAGATCTTTTGCTTCGGAGGCGCTCAGAGGAACAACCGGAACACACCAGCGATACAGTGTTTCGACACTCGGATAGGCCAGTCCTCCCATTTCGCTGATCTTCCATTTGCTTGTCGTCTGACTCGTACAGTTGTCTGTGACGACTGTCTCTTCATCATCACCACCGACGGCGACGTCATAGAGTTCTCAGAAGACAGCGGGTGTCGTACGATTGGGAAGATTGAAAACTTCGGCCGAGTTCACTTCGGAGGAATTCAGTACCGAGGTAATGTCATCCTTCTCGGAGGTAAAAGAAGAAACGACAAAGCTTGCGATACCATGCTGAGCTTTGACCCGCTTAAAGCTGGTGCGGAAACCCTCCCAGATAAGCTTCCGTTTCCGAATGTCATCGACGCATGCGTGAAGTCTATCATCAATGGCCACCATCTGAGACAAGAGTACATCCCGCGCACCAAGTCTCAGCTAAACAGTGTCAGCTAATTAGGTATTGACATTTCACAGCATCGTTTTGTAAAGATGGAAGATACAGAATCAGATTCATCACTGCATGCTTCAGCAAAAACGTTGTCATTGTCCGAATATGACCGGTAAAAGAAGGCCTTTGTCAGGCAATTTCGCCATATCGGCTACCCAAACTGTTATGATGATTATTGAAAATAAATACCATAGCATGTCTTCAATAGCATGTGATGCCCAAATGCTCCCTTTGTCGTTACCACTAACTATATCACAATATTTAACACAGGACTGGTCTCCTGAATTTAGTTGAATGTTAATATGCTATTCACATGGGGCCCCATGCGAGAATTGAAACGTGTTTACCATTATTTATTTCTAATTTATTTATTTGTACATAGAAGTATGTGAGTGAAAAGAAGTGTGACAGTTAAACTTAGTATCTGAACTTTGTACATATCATAAATCTTGTTAAATAAAATTACTCATTAAGTAAAGCAAAGTCACCTGTTGTTTATACCCTGGCCACAAGACCCGTGAGGATCCGGTTTAGAATTCGTGTTCAGCAATCCATTCTTGCCTTTAGAGGCGAATGTGCTTGTCGTAAGAATCGAAACCATGACACCCGTATCAAATACGTCACTATCACAAAACCATTTCATGTTTGTTTCATTTTTAGACACCATCAAACTTTGGGGTATAATTTCTTTTCCCTGGTAGCTTAGTATGTAGGTGTGTCGCTGATTTCAGTGTACACGCTGGTCAATCATGTATAAAATGGATTGGATTGGTTCACTGGGTGTCGTGGGGTGATTGCAGCGGGTAAAACATTGCCCCGGTCACACTCAGCAATATGCCAGCTACATGACGACGGCCTGTGTATATTTTGAGTTTGGACCAGACAAACTAGTGATTGATATCATGAGCAAAGTCACACGCCGTCGGGATAGAATGGAGTGCAACCAACAACGCCGTACCTGACCTCCCGCCCCACGACATCCCCTTTTAGGACAATCATACCACGAAAACAAATAATACATTTATAATAAGCATACATGGCAAAACAGAAAAGTAAACAGATCACAGATACAGCATTGTGATGCAATTTCATCGCAGCGATATCTACAATGTAGATATCGCTTCATCTCACCCATGCGATGCTTCCCGTGAGAGCCATTTTTGGATGATAAACAAATGTCAACAATTTCTATATGAACTGCAACCAACTATATGAACTGCAATAAACTCGTTAAAACATCTAATAAAACACATATTCACAATTGATGATACAGATATCTCTAAGATAGCGGGAAATCAGAGTAAAAAACAAGTGGTAAAACAATTTCAAAAACCTACATTCACAAACCGTTGTGCAGCTCCAGCGAGGGCGACAGGTGTTCGCAAATCTGGCTTGCATGACTTCAACTAAAGGCAGACAGACAGATTGTTTATTTAACTCTAACCTTAGCTACAGTCAGGATGGTAGACATAATGTGGAAAACCGACGGGCCACTCCATACAGGGTTATGGGAGACTGAGAAAAGTAAACTTTATATGTTTAAAGTAAGACGAGTTCTATGAATGACCAATTTCTTTATTACAATTAGTGCGACGTTTCGGTGTTAGGATCTACACCGAAACGTCGCACTTATTGTAATAAAGAAGTTGTTCATCCATAGAACTCGTCTTACTTCATCACACCAACTTCTAAATGCCATTGAAAGAAGTTATATCTGTTTATATACTTTGTACACACTTTTAAAACTATTTTCATAACAAGCAATAACTACACATTAATGCTTATTATATGAAAGAACGATTATGTGGGACTGACCTCCTCTGTTTTAGATTAGCACAGCAGGCTTTGACATGATGATAAAATAAAACAAACTTTTTGAATATCACAGAGATCATTAAAATTATTAATTACCTAGTGGCATTTTTTAATCAGAGTGGCATCGTCACTACTTCCCGGGTTTGTGTACACCGCTCTCCTTCATCACCCGTCAGGTGGCCCAGTCGTCTAAGGTGCCGCGATTCGCTGTGCAGAGTTGCGTCCGTTGGACACGCCAGAAACCTATGATTGTGGGTTCGAATCCCGGTTCACCCCGATTATGTTTCTAGGTTTGTCAGCACCATACCTGTGCTCGTGGGTTTCACCGAAGTGGTAAACGTCTGAGACCTGCATCACTTCGGGCTTTCCTCCCACATTAAGCTGATACGCCGCGATATAACTGGAATATTGGTAAAAGCGGCGTTAAACCCAACTCACTCACCCACTCACTCACTCACTGATCACCCGCGAATACCTACGGCGGTATAGCAGAGACGCGTGTCTATTAAGTGAGGTTATGATTTGTTTGTTTGTCGTTTAACGCCGCACTCATCAATATTCCAGCTATATGACGGCGGTGTTACGACGTAAATTGTAATAAAAAGGTAAATTGTATCACTTGCAACAAATTGTTATAATTTTGACGTAAATTGTAATAACAACGTAAATTGTAATAATATTTGACGTAAATTGTAAAACGCAAATTGTAATAAAAATTGACGTAAATTGTAATAATCTCTACTTGCGGTAAAATGTAATAAATTCTTACGTAAATTGTAATAACCTTACTACCGTAGTGTCCAAGACGCCAATTGACTAGAAATGATCTTTGTCAGTTGAGCTTGCGTTTCACATGTACAATTCGAGAAATACTGTGTATGATGACAAACGTACAAAACTGTTAAGTTAGGGATGGTTGGTATAGGCTTTATCGAACAATCATCATTAAAGGGTGATGTCAACATAGTGAAAGACATTTATTGGAAGTGATGTAATGTTTGTGGCATGCTATCATCTACGTAGAAGATACTACCATCTGCGTAGAAAATACTATCATCTACGTAGAAGATACTATCATCTACGTAGAAGATACTCTCATCTACGTAGAAGATACTTTCATCTACGTAGATGATAGTATGCCATCTAGATACTATCGTCCACTTACATACTTTCATCTACGTACATGATACTGTCATCTAGAGTATGTAGAAGTGCAGTCATATATGTGATACCAATGACATAGAGCTCACATTTACTGTCATTACATACACACCTACATGCGCGCACACACACACACACACACACACATACATACATACATACATACATACGTACGTACGTAATTACTTACTTACTTACACACACACACACACACACACACACACACACACACACACACACACACACACACACACGCACGCACACACACGCACACACACGCACACACACGCACACACACGCACACACGCACACAAGCATGAATGCATGCGTGCAAACATACATACACACATATAGTGTTTGTGTGTGTGTGTGTTTTTGTATGGGTATGTAGTGTGTGCAACACGTGTTTGTGTCTGTATCTGTGTGTGTGTGTGTATGTGTGAATGTATGTGTGTGCGTGCGTGCGTGCGTGCGTGCGTGCGTGTGTGTGTGTGTTTGTGTTTGTGTTTGTGTGTCTATGCTGATAAGGCCCAATCTGAGGTTTCTTAGATAGTTACTAGTCTTTTCATCAGAATTTTAACAAAGTATGTTGTAATTTCGTTACAGTGCTTGTTGTTTGTTGGAATTACTTTAATCCTCTTAAACCCCCAGAGGAGGTTATGCTTTCAGGGGATTATTGTCCGTCTCAAATTAGTGATAAAAAATGAAAAACGTATTATCTACGAAGAATATACTTATGTCTTCGTTGGACATACTTTTATCTACGTAGAAGATACGTTTATCTAATAAATGTATTTGCTACATTCTAATTCGTATATATACAGGTTTGTGTTTTTATTTTATCTTTTAAAATGTCTTACTTTGTTCATTTGTTACATTTTGCATAACCTTTAATTGCTCATATCAGCATTTTTGTGGGACCTCTCACAAAAGAGGTGTCACTCATCTTTCACTTGGAACTATATGTAGAAGTGCAGTCATAGATCTGATACCAATGACATATAGAGGTCGTATTTACTGGCATACATACATACATACATAGATACATACATACATACATACATACATACATACATACATACATACATACATACATACATACATACATACATACATACATACATACATACATACATACATACATACATACATGCATAAACACATACACAAACAAACACATACATACATACCTATGTGTATGTGTTTGTATGTATGTGTGTATGTATGTGTGTGTATACTGATGAGGCCATAGTATCGGAGATAAATATAATTTGGTTTCTTAGTTAGTCACTATTCTTTTCATTGGAATGTTAAGATGGTATGCTATAATTTCAATATTTTATTACAGTGCTTGCTGTTAGCTGGAATTATTTTAATCCTCTTAAACCCCCAGAGAAGATTATCCTCTGAGGTAATTTTTGTCCGTATATATGTCACAAATTAGTGATAACTTATGAAAAACGTAATTATCTGTTTCGAAAATTATGTACCGCATTATACGTGAGGTACCAAAGTATCAACCTTGGTATCAAGGTTGCTTGGCGCAATCAATCAACGATTGTCGAGTTTAATGATCTTAGAATACTCTTCGTATAAGGTCAAAGAGAATATTTACGTTAGTGACAAAACCCTTTTCATTATAGATTTTCCATACTTTCAATTTTGATCAAAACAGATTATTTCAGCAATAATTGATTGCAACAAATTTATTATACATTCTGATGCTCTTTGAAACTCAACAAGACATGCCCGAAGATACCGGATATTATTTGTGTATGCTTTGAATTATGATTTCGTGCCGTTATCATGATGGATTCTGTTTTTGTTGTTGGGGCAAGGAGTTATTATCCCAGCAAATGTTGTCAGTAAGCTGTTGTTAGTTCTTCATGACATATGAAAGGAATCCAGACAGTTACATTTATTCATTTATTTCATTACATATACTTCTTGTTATGAAAGGAAATAGTTTATGTTATATTAATTATCCATATGTAAATCATACATTGCTACAAATATTGCATAAGTTAACATGGTTTGCATTTATTTATTATTATTTCTTTATCTGTGAGAAGTTCACAGAGATCGAGAATACACAATATCTAATAGTATATGCAATGTAGGTAAAGAATATCCACGCTCTCTTTTGATATTAATAAAAACATTGTATATAATGTTATGTATTAAGTATTCTCCTTTCCCATGCATGGGAAATCTATGCTGCATTTGCTGACGACTGTTTTTTTTTCATTTGACATTGCACAGGAGATCTGTCACTCATTTGCTGTATTTGAATTCTTCGTGAAAATATAATACAAAACACACAGAGTATTTCTCAAATAAATAAGAAAACTAAGTTCATTCTAGTAATTAATCCTCTTCTGGACAACCATAGAAATGAAAATCCAATTCGTTTATATATACATATAATTATACAACAATGCACGATAACGACCTCAATCCTCCCCCACACCCATACTTTAATGACAATTGTACGATAAACCC